CTGAACCGACCCGAACTGACCTGATCTGCACTGTGACAGTGGAAAAGGGGCATAATGCCCCTTTTCCACCGTCACGGCGCGGGTCGGATATTTCCGGGTTGAAGCGCGTTTGAGGTCTTTCCACTGTTCCAGAAACCGGCTCGCCTTGCTAAATTCTGGCCCGGCTTCTCAAGGGTTCCGAGCGAGCCGCGCCGTGATGTCAGAAACACTGTCGGTCACTGATTGGTCGGGGGGAGGAGTCTGTGGAGTCTTTCCAAACAACCCGATCCACCATTTTTTCTCTACCGCTTGCCATTAGCGATAACACGAGGAGTGTATCTTTTAGTATTTTGAAGCTATACAACAACAATAATGTCAAAGCCGTGGTCAAATGCAGAAGTGCAGGTGTTGTTGTGCTTGGTGGCCGACGAAAAAAGTCAAAGCGAGCTAGATGGAGGATTGGAGGGTGGTTTGGACACGACTACTGCTCTACTTGAACCATTTATAGAAGATGGTGAGTGTTTTCTAACTTTAAACATATTTTAAATTACTCATCCCATCGGTTCTGAACATATTTTTAACTAACAAAAGAGGCTGACGCCATAATAGTACAACGTCGGTGCTACGATGCTAAGCTAATTTGCATAAATGCTAACTGTCCTCCGGTCCCGTTTCTCACTGTATTTTATCCAGAACGTATTTCAGCACGTGACGGTTCATCTCTAAACTCCACATTAAACCCTCCAAGCCTCCCGGCTCCTGCTCCTGCTCCATGAGAGGAGTCTGCACCTGACAGGTCTCCATCACAGCCCAGCTGCACCTCACAGAGCAGCACAACGCTGCAGCTTCTGTGCTCGGTAAGAACAGATGCAACTGTTCCACATCACTTTATTTGTTCCGATAAGGACTTGATTTATTTTATTTTTAAAGTAAAAAACTAAAATGTTGAATAAATACTGAATTGGAATGAAATTATGTACACAGGGTCCCAGTTACAGACAACAAAACGTAAAATAAAAACAGTAATAAGATCTAAGATATGAACTAAGAAAAATATCAACTAAAAAACATCTACTAATAAAACACTAAGCACTAATAGCAGTAAACAATCAAAACAATACGTCAAACAGCAACATGAACTTGAGTTTGTGCAGCCTCATGAATATATAACACTGTGAAGAATCACATCATGTAGCTGCTGATCAGTTTCATGTTGCTGCTGATCAGTTTCATGTTGCTGCTGATCTGTTTCATGTTGCTGTGTTCATGCATGCTCGTCTGTTCACACAGACTCATGTCCGTGCTGCTGTTCTGCGTATTGTGTTTAATGTTTTTATGCTATTGGAGCTTATATTTTTAGTTGATGTTTTTATTAGTTCATATCTTAGATCTTATTACAGTTTTTCTTTTATATTTTATTGTTGGATGTAACTGGGACCCTGTGAACATAATTTTGATCCACCACATGTACCACATGTGGTGCGAATGACAAAGAATATCTGCATCTGTATAATACTTTCTGATTCATATATCCATTATTATCATTTTCATTATTTTTAAATCAATTTATTTTTCATTTTCTTATTTGATCAGTTTATTATTATTAATATATCTATTATAGCTGTTAGCAGCACCTTTCTTTGTTTCATGCATTTATTCAAAAACAGTATGTAGCTTGAATTAACCACTTTTTCTTCTTTCTAGTGAAGAGAAAGAGAAAAGAGTCCAGTAAAGAAAAGTTTTATTTCATCACTGAATGAACATGAAGAACTGAACCGGACACAGCAGGAACAACACGTGCGTCTTCTTCTGGATGAAGCCCGTGAGACAAGGGACAGACAGATACACAATCATTAGTTGGACGTAGTAGTTTTTATTTTTCTACATTTTTCACTTCTTACTTTTCCTATTAAACAATTTTTTTCTTAAGTGGTGTCCTTGAACATTAAATTTCCTAAACAAATTTTACAATGTTAAGTTCATATAGTGTTTGTTTAAATTCATACTGGAATTGAGAAGAATTTCCAATTGCATTTGATCTTTAATGAATCCTAAGAAAAGATTACCAGAATCTGCTCAACTGTTATTATGTTATAATTTTTTGGTTCTAGGATGAAGTGACACAAAAACAGTCAAAAATTCAGAAAGGACAGTTATCAATTATCAGTTATTTATCAGTTTTCATTTATCAGTTATCATTTATCAGTTATTGGCCATACAACTGTGGCCTGAGAGATTCAGCTGAAAGTCCTGGTGCACCTTTTATTTGAACCTGCAGAGATTTGAACAGCTGATCTGAAGCAAACAGGCAGGAGTTCACCTGAACTGACCACTCCTGCTGTGTTTGATGGTCTCCTCCTTCACCATCCATCCATCCATCCATCCATCCATCCATCCATCCATCCATC